GACCGCCGGATCGAGCTCTATATGGAAGGATTTCGAAATTCGAATTGCAGCAGCTCACTTGATTAATGTCATTGCTCTATGTAGCGCCATCTAAAGTAAAGCAAACAAATCAAATGCAAGTGCTTACAGTTTTCTGCAATTTAATAATAATTTGAAAGGGCGCATTCTTTTTTTACCGGCGAACCGAACCGAACTCACCCTCCAACTCACACCAGACCCTATTTGAATTTTTCTCCGCATATGAACCTATTCAAAATAACAAAGTTGCTTTTATCGGTGATTTCAATCCCAACACAAATGTTAAGGAAACTCATATAAATGATTTTTTAGCGCTAGGGGGCCTAACACAATTTAACACTTTCTCAAACATATCAGGTAACATATTGGATCTTGTTATTGCTAACTTTGAATGTGAGGTAACTAGAGATCATCTTCCCCTTGTCCCGGAGGATTCTGCACACCCCACCCTTAACGTTTCATTTGACATGCAGCTAAACCCAGATGCTGGGTTCAGTGACTTTCCAACCTCTAACACAAGTAGAAACTATAACTTTAATAAGGCTGATTTCAACCTGATGTACCATCTATTAACTGTCACAAATTGGGACTCTTTAATCAATGAATCTAATGTTAACCAAGCCGTCAATCATTTCTATGACTTTACACCATTTTTTGACCAATGTGTCCCATTGTATAATAAAAAATCAAATAGGGTTGTGTACCCCAACTGGTACACTAAAGAAATAATAAACAATCTTAATGAGAAGAATAGGCTTCACAAAAAATATAAAAAAAGTGGCTCAAACTTGGACTACCAAGCATATTCAAACATGAGACGTATGATAAAAATAAAAATTGATGTCGCATACAAAGCATATATAAGGGACACTGAATCTTCAATCAAGGTGAATCCAAAGCACTTCTGGAAATACATTCGTCAAAAACGGAATAAAACATGTATCCCGAGTAAACTAATTTCTGGTCAATCCTCCCTAGATAGTCCACAGAGTATAGTAAATGGCTTTGCAGAGTTTTTTAAAAGTGTCTATGAAGCATCTTCAGATTTTAGCTTGGATAGCCTGAATGAGGTTGGCAACTCTCAGAACATCAATGTCACTCATATTACTGAATCTGAAATCTTTGAATCCCTGAAAAAATTAAAAAACACACATACTTCTGGGCATGACAAAGTACCATCTTTCATACTGCGGGACTGTGCCCCATGTCTTACATTTCCACTGCACCACATATTTAATTTAGCAATCAAGACACACACTTTCCCCGATCACTGGAAAAAAACTAAAATATGTCCAGTATTTAAGGGCGGGGATATTAACAATATCTCTAATTACAGACCAATCTCCATTTTGTCCAACTTCTCGAAGGCCTTTGAAATCTGTGTACATGACAATCTCTTCCACCAAGTTAAAAACTTAATTACCACTATCCAGCATGGATTTTATAGCAAACGCTCAACTATCACTAACCTAACTTCTTTCCTAATAAAGGCATATCAGGCTATAAATGAAAGAAAACAACTTGATGTGATCTACACGGACTTTTCGAAGGCGTTTGATAAGTTGGACCATGGGCTTATTGCTCATAAAATGCTTCAAATTGGGTTTCACAACAACCTTATTAATCTATTCATCTCCTATCTCAGTGGCAGGTCACAATTTGTCGAATACAATGGGTTCCAATCCTATGATTATAATGCCACCAGCGGAGCCCCTCAGGGAAGTAATCTCGCGCCTCTGATATTTGCCATATTTGTCAATGATATCGCCCAGAACGTCTCATCACACAGTTTATTATTCGCAGATGACCTCAAACTATTTAGAATAATTAACAACTTAAAGGATTGTAACGAGCTGCAGAAAGATATTGATGCACTTTCAGGTTGGTGTCAAAATAACAAATTATATCTAAACATCAATAAGTGTAAATCAATGACCATCGCAAATCTCAATCATGAGTTGAATTTTAATTACCAACTCCAATCTAGTTCTCTTTTGAAAGTTGACTCAATCCGGGATCTGGGGGTGGTGATCGACAAAAAGCTCACATTCAATGACCATATTGATGAAATTGTGCATTCATCATTGAAGACCCTGGGGTTTATTATTAGATCAACAAGAGAGTTTAAGAACATCGACAGTCTCATCACGTTGTACAACTCTTTGGTCAAGTCTAAATTGCAGTATGCTTCTCTGGTGTGGTTTCCTTACCATCAAGTACATGTGGACAGGCTCGAATATGTTCAACGGCGATTCCTAAAGTATCTAAGTTTCAAAAAGGATGGAATTTACCCTCCAAGAGGATTTGACCACCAGTTGCTACTCAACAAGTTCAACTTCCTCTCACTTCAACAGAGTACAATTTTAGCAAGTCAACTCTTTCTTTTTAAATTATGTAACAACCTGGTAGACTCTTCAGATCTTCTAAATAGCATTAATTTTTCTTTACCAGTAGTCAACACACATTCCCACCGCAAATTCTATTTGGAAAATCGCCCCACATATCTTGCCAGAAATGAGCCAATCTATCGAGCCTGCTCATACTTCAATCACCTGCAGTACAGTATCGATGTAGACTTATTTGTGGGTTCAGTAGACTCTTTTAAAAAATATATCTTGCCAGTGGTTCGCAATCTGTGATAATGTATTTGCTGTGATAAGTGTTTACTCTTGTCCTGGCTGAAGTATGGGAGGGTGACTATTTCTATCTCTATTTTTATTTCCTATTTTAACTAAGTAAACAATGCTAGTTTTTCTTATTATTTTTATTTTTATGTTGATTTTGATTTTGATTTAATTTTTCAATTTCAATTTCAATTTCAATTTCAATTTCAATTTGAATTTGAATTTGAATTTGAATTTGAATTTGAATTTGAATTTGAATTTGAATTTGAATTTGAATTTGAATTTGAATTTGAATTTGAATTTGAATTTGAATTTGAATTTGAATTTGAATTTGAATTTGAATTTGAATTTGAATTTGAATTTGAATTTGAATTTGAATTTGAATTTGAATTTGAATTTGAATTTGAATTTGAATTTGAATTTTAATTTTAATTTTAATTTTAATTTTAATTTTAATTTTAATTTTAATTTTAATTTTAATTTTAATTTTAATTTTAATTTTAATTTTAATTTTAATTTTAATTTTAATTTTAATTTTAATTTTAATTTTAATTTTAATTTTAATTTTAATTTTAATTTTAATTTTAATTTTAATTTTAATTTTAATTTTAATTTTAATTTTAATTTTAATTTTAATTTTAATTTTAATTTTAATTTTAATTTTAATTTTAATTTTAATTTTAATTTTAATTTTAATTTTAATTTTAATTTTAATTTTAATTTTAATTTTAATTTTAATTTTAATTTTAATTTTAATTTTAATTTTAATTTTTATTTTTATTTTTGTTATTAGTTATCTTTGTTTCATAGTTGTTTTTAATTTTGTTTTAGGCTTCTTATTAGTTCTCTGGATCTTATGTGTGATATAATCTTAACTTTTAAATTTTCATATTTTGTTCGCTCTTAAGTGCACTAATTGTCTCATTATATGCATAGTATGTATTCCTGTTAGACAATAAAGAATTGAATTGAATTGAATTGAACCTACAGATGAGCAGTCTATCTGTTTCTAGTACATAGAATAGAATAGAATAGAATAGCTCGATGGAAAAAAAGAAAGCGCCTAAAGGTTATGTTTGGCTGCTTCCTTCAACTAAATTGGGGAATCCCCGAGTCTGTCTGACATCTGACTCAAACGCTAGTGCACGTAAAACGTAAACGATTTTTAGTCCAGGGCCGGTGTTCTCGTTCCCGAAAACGCTCACCGCTTTTTAGTCGCTCAGCACTTTTAATGTAAATTTACATATAAGTGCCGAGCGTTTCAAAAGCGGTGAGCGTTTTCGAGAACGAGAATACCGTCCCAGTGTGGTTACAGTTGTTTTGTGTTCCTGTGTATCCAACTAAGTTAAAAATGTCAAAAGTTTAGAAGTTTTTTGAAATCCATACTTGAATTTAATGTTTATGTTTAAAAAAAATATTGTTATGGTTTACAACTTTGATTTTAATAAAGTTCTAGGTATTCTTCTTGCTTTTCGCTTATAAATTCATTATTTAACCTATTTTAAAATTTTCAAAAATTCCGGCTGGAACGGTAGTTCTGGGCTATAGGCCGGATCGGCCGGATTTAGTGGTACCACTAGAATTCCGGTACATCCCTACTATTAATGCTTTGTAAATCATTACTAGCAATTTAGTGGTTGAAAAATCCCTCAGTCCTCAGTAAAAAGAATTTTTAACCTAATTTATAAATTCTTTTTGTTAAGTATTTTATGTGATCAGTCCATTCAAGGAACTGATCTATAACTATGCCTAGATATTTAGTTTTGGAAACTGAGAGAGTCTTTAATGCTAAATCATTTATAGAAATACTATCATAACTCAGTCTGCAGGTCTTGGTCAAAGAGAAGGCCATATAATTAGTCCTTTTCACAATTTGCAATTGAATTTTAGGCATTTAGTTTATTTGTATGAATAAATAAATATTAAATTTTGTTGAAGAACCTTCACTAAAATATGAAAATTAGGTAGGTATCCTTCACAAGCGATCGAAAATCTTCTTGAAACACCACCAAATACACAGAAAACAGTTTTATGATACTAAAACGTCATGGTTGGGTTGTCTAAATAAAAAACTTATGGCATCAATTTCACAGTTTGACCTGGATCACTAATCACTAGGTCAACTGACAAAGGACCGGTCAAATTCCTGAGTATTGTCTTAACGAAATGAAGGCATTAGTAATTACATATAAACGTGTATTTCTTGCAAAACAGCTGAAAAAAATAAATAATAAATCATTCTGAGATTAAAAACCGTGTTAGCCAAAAAGTGCCTACGGGAACAGAAATTAGGCCACTTTTACGCGCCGTGGCACTCTACTATAAGCTATGTACAATTTGGAATAAGTTTCAACTTACCTGGTATTTGTTTGTTCCTACGACAGCTGCAGGGATTATACTGCCATCAGGAAGTTCAGCATACAAGCTGGAAATATCTCCTGAAGAACATTTAACTTCAAATTCGGAAATAAATCCAATATGTGTTACAATTGTAGCATCTTGTGTAGTGAATGATTTTGAGGTTACTTGGGGATTTGTGCAGGCTGAAATCAGTCCTACAAAAACTACCAAAAGGAGAACTGAAAACAAGAAATGATCGGCCATTTTGTCTAGAAAAAGCTCAAACAGTAGATAATAAATTAAAGTAGCACGAGAGGAGCCGCTCAAGAACTTTCTTTTCTGATGTAGATGTATGATGATTTGATGATTGAATTCAATTTTGAGAGCATCTGTCTGCGTGTCTGCTGTCAGTTATTCTTGACCTCCACGAGCTCCACGCCACAGCCTTGCGCGCCACGTCCTATCAAAAAATAGTATTTCGAGTGTCGTTTGGTTCGATGTTCTGTTTGTTGTTCTGCGTAAAGCTTGAACATTAAGCCGGCCGTTCGTAGCCCCGTCCAATTGTTTCGTTTGCCGTTCGGTCCGTTTCTGTTTGTTGTTTAGAGTAATGTACAAGTCTGTATAAAGGCGGGTATTATAAAACTACTTTGAGAGTTAACTTGAAGTTAACTTCTGGAATTACATGTAATTCAGAAAGTTAACTGTCAAAGCAGTTTTATAATACCCACCCTAAAACTCATAGCATTTTCGGCTTTATTGCTCCCAGAGCACTCCCCGTCTGGGCGGTGACGTAACAGATCTCTGTGGAAGTTTTCGAGAGCGATTATAATCCAAACGAGGGCACACCATTTAAAATCAATAGCCGAACGTACCTACTGTTTGGATGAAACTCTTTGATCTATCGAATTTGACAGAGCGTTCCGTTCGAGATTTGAAAGCGTTCCATTGCTCAAGTCGAACACGTGAATCTCGCCGAGAACAACGCTCCGTTTCAAGCCAAACATCTGTTTTAAGCCGAACATGTGAATCCCTTTCGTATTGCTTTATGCTAAGTCGTCAGCTGTTTAAACAGAAACAGAATACGTCAAGGCGAGATATAACATGCTGTCTACGTCACAACTGATGATTTAGCGTTGCCAGGGGGGAAGGGGGGATTTGTTCTACACAGGCCTTATGAGGATAGGCTACCCTGTAGTATAGTTCATACCAAATAAACTTATAGTCGGGTTGTCAAGCTCAGCCGGCACAGCGTTGCCGTCTCTTCCATATTTTCTTTTGGTCAAAATATTTTCAGAAACAATAATAATGGATTATAAACATTGCTCCAAAGCTTGGTTTTATAGATATTTAATAACAACTCAATTGTCAATCATCACATAAAATATAATAATAACGCTCAGTACCTATTTTATTTACAGCCACTCTAAATACTATAAATATCTTATTAAATATTATGAATATTTGATCCATCAAGAAGATTTTCAATTATTCTGGATCACTGAAATAGCTGAAATCGCTAGAGTCTTCATCAATATTGATAAGTGGAAGAATGTATGCTATTGAAGTGGAAGAACGTATGCCATATGAGCATTGTCTATAACAATGACAGATGGTTCACTCAAGTTCTTCAACAGCTGATTTTCGAACCAACATAAAAAGTTTTGCTGATTAATTTCTTCATGATAGTCGTTAAGTTGAGTTTTCGATGAATATACAAGCGATGTACCTTCAATGAATCCATTTTCAGTGCCAGCATGAAGTAGGTATGATATATCTAGAAAAAGCATTTCTTTGTACATATAATACACTGCTCTCTGTATTCATGTTTATATTTACCTATACCATCAACTTTGTTAGTTTTAACACTTCGCTTGTTGTTGTCTTCCCACGGTTAATAGTACCATTTTGAAAAATCCAAGTCTCGTTCAAGAAAACAAACTGGTACAAAGCCTCCTGTTTCAGTCCTAAATAAGACCTTAAAAATGATATGCGTTTAACAGCAATATCCAGGAAGTTCCAGGAGCCCTCGTCTTGGGTCATCTTTTTTCCATTTGAAGCCTATTTCTTTTAACATTCTACTCAATGGCCAATTGCTCCCATATACAGGATAATGTTACATGTTGTTCTACAAGAAGAAAGAAGGCGATTCATAGATATCTATATGTACCTTTGTCTCCAACGATTTACTTTTTATACACATATCGTAAATAGTGTTATGTATAGCACTGCTATCGAGCTTTGAAACATCACAGACTCTCTTATTCGAAGTGCATCGTTTCTTAGAAGGCGATTCCAAATCTTCGTTATTTTTGACTGCCTTCGAAATAGCACAGACAGTGGACATACTTAAGTTCAAAGCCTCTGCTACTCGCTAAAAATGAGAGAAAGTTCAAATTAAAAATTCGTATTTGGTCACACGACATCAACGACTTATAAACTCACCTTCCTAACAGCATTTAAGGGACATTAAGGGCCATTATTATCGCGTTCTCGTTCGAAATATTGTAAAAAGGATGCGATTAGTTCTTTGCAATGGCTGTTAAGCTGCTTCGGCATCTTGTACACTTCGCACTACAAGCTGATTTTAAAAAACAAGGTCACAATTAACAGCACAAACCAAAAACTCGTAAACTGCCAAAATGCAATCAAAATGTCAAGAATTTAATTTGGCAACGTTACATTTTTTGAAGTGGTGTTACCAACTGAATGGCTAGCGGGAAATTCAAATTCCAATTAAGTCAATCCGACGCCGAATATTTTCACGGTTGGGAATATCGATTTTAAAAATGGCGTCATCGATGTCACAACAACAAGTTTATTTGGTATGAACTATAGTAGGGTATTAGTGTGTATTGTGTATCATTACAGTGGCTAAATAAACATTTACGTCTTATCCGATAAGTTATAGTAAAAAGTCATGAATCAAAATTGTGTGAAATTTCATCATAAATCTATTGTTACCATTTCTGAGATACGTTTCCATTTGAAATTTAAAAAATAAAACCATTTTTGTACTTTGACAGTTGGGTTACGCCCCCTTACGGTCATTTTAGAAAGCTGAAATATATTTCCAGCATTTTCTCTTGGCCATATTTATGGGATAATTTTTTTCCGACATGACTACGATGAATAGTTCTTGAGATATGGCCGAGTGCCATTCTTAATGAATCACCCTGTACAATAAAGTGAATTTTGGCAATATCTGATTATTGCCAAAATTATGGTAGGCCTGTGTCGGAAAAATTGAAATCCCTAGATCTGTGTTAGATAAATAAAAAATCCCTAGATTTTTTACCAAGGATAATACACACTATTAAGGATTGCTTATCGACCTCGGTTTTGGCAATTGTCTGTGTGTGTCACCATTTCCGACGTCATTAACAAGTCGTCAGCTGTTTCCACTATACATTAGAGATCGTAGATTAGAATTTAAATTTATGATGAAAAATATTATTTAATTTTGATTTACATAATAGGCAAAGAGGAAGATGAAAACGAGATCTGAATGAAGTTGTTTTAGAATGTTAATTAATGTAGTAAAACCAAGTATGCATAAATCAAAAGCGAAACCCCGCGGAATCATAACCTGTAGTGCAAACAGCCTACGTCAAGCGAGGCGAGAAAGGACATGCTGCCTACGTCACAACTGGTGATTTGGCGTATGGGGGGATTCAGATTTGTTCCACACAGATGACATCATCGAACAAGGACAGACAATGTTGTCAATGCCTATTTTTTCTCTTATAATTTACCAGAATGTCATGTGTCAATAATTCTGACGACATCAAAAGACCGAAATGAAAATGTTTATAAAAGTCATGCAACGTCGCACGCCGTTGCCAACCAAAAACATCTGAAATTCCTCTACTTTAAATGTGTTAAAAGTACTTTCAGATTTGTTAGGTTATGGCAGCACAAATTTACTAAATGTGACGTCATCCTAAATATAGCGTAAAAATCCTATAATTACCTGATTTGCGGGTAATTTATTAACCAATGGCCGTTTCCACTAACTATTTTAGGGGAGCCTTAACGATAAGTATTTCCTTAAAATGACATTTTTACATAACGAAATGTCAGTTTAAGGAATACCTCGTTAAGGCTCCCCTAAAATAGTTGGTGGAAACGGCCATAAGACCGGGGTAATTTTCTAACATCTTATAAATCAAGTAATTTCGGGTAATTGAAGCTTGTTGTTCGGAGCAGCACTTTCTACATTTTGGGGCGTCCGATTGTGTTATGTCAATGAAATGAACGATATTATGGTTATTATAGCCGCTTTCCAGCTGACGCTTTTGAGCACGCAATCGACCTTTTGCGCGCGCAAATGCTTCAAGCGCGTGTTCGTGTTCCAGCCGTACTGCGCTTCGAGAGCTGCTAACTTTTGCGTTTCCAACACAGAACACTGTGCTGCACCGTGCTTGAAGCACACAGCTGGAAAGCGGGTTATGTCATAATAGTTGTATTCCTCTCACACCTATTTTTTTTTAGGAGGAGCTCCGGAACAGCTCCAGGGCAATACGCGCTTATTCCTTTTGAAAAGTGTTTGTTGCACCTGAAGTGCTAATAAAAAAGGCCCGTATTCATAGTCGATGCTCAAGGTTGCGTCTTGGCTCAAGTACGACTTGACGCCATATTTGCGTTTCCAAACAACACGGAACGATGCTCACAACTGTCAAAAATCGGAACTTGAGCCAAGCACCCGACTATAGCCGCTTTCCAGCTGTGTGCTTCAAGCACGGCGCAGCACAATATTCTGTGTTTGAAACACAAAAGTTAGCAGCTCTCGAAGTGCAGTACGGTGGAACACGAACACGCGCTTGAAGCATTTGCGCGCGCAAAAGCTCGATTGCGTGCTCAAAAGCGTCAGCTGGAAAGCGGCTTATGAATACCGGTCTAAATTCACGAAAGCCAGCGCATCTGTTCCTTTCAAATCGGTATCCACTAACACCGGAGCGAGTAGCACATTTGCTTCTCTTTTATTTTCCCTTCTCTACAAACAAAGATAGACTATAGAAAGATCGAGCATTTCAGCGCCAGACTTCAACTCTTGGCGTAATATGCAAAGAACGGTAATTGAGGTAATACAGGCTGTGTTCGTTTTTCTAATTTTTTTTGTCGATTTGCTCCGAAATTTTGACAGGCACGTGACTGGATCAGACTGTTCCAATTTACAAATCACGTGCCTGTCCAAATTTCGGAACAAATTGACGAAAAAGATGACAAAAACGAACACGGCTTGTGTTGCACATCACATCACAAATTCACGAGTTGTGATGTAGGCAGCATGCCCTTGTTAAATATAAGATTAGTTTGGAGTAGTTCGGAGTAAGTCGAGCAAACCTATAAAATGTTGACTTGGCAACACTGTGTAGAAACATCGTTTTTGTTATGTCAACTATGTCAAGTTAGTTTAGTAGTCAGCTGTGATATAGTTGAAAAGTTGCAAGTCATG